TCGTTGCATTACGTAACTTGTAGGAGCAGCCCCATGCACCCAAAAGCTGGCCGATGGTGAAGCCAAGATTGTGCCGCTTGCGTTCTCAAGCAGCAGGCATCTGAAAGCTTGCAAGAACTTGAGTGATAGTGTGCAGCAGCAGTTGCAAAAAGCTTCGGGCTGTAGGTGTCGGACTAGGGTGCTGACCATTCCGATAACTTCTTCGTTTTCGTCCGTCAGGTTAATGAAAAATCGATGAAGTGTCGAAGTCTGATGCATCATCAGGTGCATCATCAGGTGCATGTATATTTCGGTGTTCAGGCCAATCGTCATCTGCAAACTAAAATGACAGTCCTTCGAAGAAGCATTACGTGGCTCATTGTAATTTGAGAACTTCAGTATCATGTCCTGGCATGAGTTCGTGATGTGGTGCCCAGTGCATCAAGAACAGTCGGCAGAGTTCGTGCACACACCACTTACGTGACCTAATTTCATGCACTTCCAGCACTGAAGCGGTTTTGTTACAAAATGGCGAACTGCGTGTTGGAAACAGCCCGCTTTTACGTGTGATGAAAGTGATTCGCTCTCAAATGTAATCCCTAAGTGTCGTAATGTTTCGATACGACACATACTTGCCATAATGGTATCTTCAGAAGCCGGCTTGATCAAGGCTGGTATGCCCGATGTGGTAATGGCTTCGTCCACATCCTACAATAACCCGGTGTTCATTTTTTTTGCCCAGCGGTATATAAGAGTGGACTTCCATCTCATCAAGTTCCATAATTTTACGCAATATATCTATTGCAGTTATATGATTGTCGTCATTCGTCATGATGTTCTTGCGGCTATTCACTCTGACTTCTTTTGCATCGTTCGAAACCAGTGCTTCCAGATGCACAGACACGGCTTGCCGGTTGAGGCGTCTCATGTTGTAACTAGTAAGAACTGGCATTATTATGATGGTCAATATCTTGGTATTCCATATAGATTGTATGGTGGAATCACTCCAATTGGGAGACATGCTCAAAAATCGTCTCTTTCCATTGCGGCTCCTCAAAATCTCTAAGGTGTCATCCCCCGATTATTGACTGCTGACGTAGTAGTGTACAATGTCATCGCTTCCAGTTCCGCTCTCGGAGCTGTCCTGGAAGCAACACCCGTGGTCACTCCGGTATCTGGTTGCCTTGCCCTCACCAGCAGGAGACAGTACTTGACAGGCGAAATGACCATTATTCACACAAAAAACCGTGGAACTCAAACATTCGGCATTTGTCACACTCGCACTTCCAAGTTTTACAAGATTCGATGTGACTGCTGTAGGCCTGATAATATTTGAGGTAAACTCAGCCCCTTGCCTTTTTTTGAATGATGTGATTCTTTCGCAACTCGCCATCAGGTAATGAATCCAAGAATTTCTAAATGCGTGATTAACAATTTTGAGTGCGCCCAGGGGATAAATTTTATGGAGGTTTTTATTTAAATAATAAATCACCGAAACGTCCAGTAGTATTAAATCAGTTGTAGTAATATTAGTAGTAATAAATCAGTTGTAGTATTGTTAGTAGTAATAAATAAGCTGAAAGTGTGCGCTAGTCCTCGTTTCTTGTGTTCATTGTCTAAAATGTTTCGCGCTGAGCAGTTTAATATTGGAATACCAACTAGCCTAATCCCAAACTTTGCGTCATTATACCATCAAGACCTGCAGTGAATTTAGGCCGTGTTCTCGCTTCATTTAGCAGTTCTGCGGCTGTAACCGCTTTCGAGTCCTCACTCCTATGGAGTGAGGGCGGGTGATATAAGAGAACAGTCATGAAGCGACTTTTATGCCCTGAGCTATATTTTCGATAAAAGTCTTTGGTTTATTTTATGTTGATATCACAGATTCAACGTTTTCTAGTACTGGAAGGGCTTTTTTGGCTTTCAGAAATTGACATAGTGTTATTCTAATGGCCGTTTCAGAAAGGGTGCGATTATTTGATTAAAGCACTTGACCTTGTCTGCCTTGTCTTCATGTCCGTTTTCGTATGTGCTAATTTTGCTTGGTTGAAATGTCAGGCACGTAATTAAAACAGTTTGAGCTGCACAAATGTATTTTGTCAAGCTCCACTCCTAGGAGCACTCTAAATAGCAGTGTGCTACGGCGAGTTCATTCTGTTACTGAATCTCTGGTGAGAGTCGCCTTTTGTTTTTCCAGTACGCTTGTTTTCAGCTTTGGAATATTGTTGCAAAATGGTTGTAGCATCGATAATACAACCCTACCCGGAGGGTAGGCTGCCTGTCTAGCCTTGCATGTAGATTCCCTCACTGTTAATTATCAGTCGCGGTAACGACCCGTGGAGGCTCGAAAACTGAATGAGCATTTAAAATGATCGTGTAATGGGATATACTATAAGCAGCAAGACTGTACTGTCGTGGTAATCAACATCTTTGTACGAATAGGTTGAAATGGCCACAACACTATTTCTTGGCTAAACTTCAACAGAATTTATTCACAGTAACCGCGTCTACCGCTTTATTTATCGTTAAGATCTCTCCTACGCACAATGCGAAGCACTTTCCGAAGTAGCCTCTAACGCAGTAACACAAAAATTATCATTCGAAAGGATTCAGACGTTGTTCCAACCCACTTCACGAGGATTCAATTAACTGCAAGCTAGGAATAATTCAATTCGATTTTTATAAAGAAACAGATGACTGTGGCTGCCCTGTAGATTATCCAGCACCATGCACCAGTGTTTTAGTATGTAACGATATGGCTGCGTACTTAGATTGCAAGGAAATGGCCGACACCGACAAGGCGGAAACTTACAACTAACTTTATTTTTCTTCATAAGTAATGATTATGTACGCTCATCACTCACTGTAATAGAAATGAACAATCATACCATTATCACAATCTGTAGATTACAACATCACGTACAAGAACTTCTTATAACCGCCAAATAACGAAACCGAAGATTGGATAACACAGCGATTACCTCTTGTCGAGATATAATAGGCTTCCATCTCTTCCCTGTCCGTTCATTCATGGCTTGTGCCCAAAAGTCTGACGTCCCCTGAAATTCGGGAACACTTTCTATGTGGGACGTCCACAGCCAAATGTGCCATCTCTTAACTGATTATAGACAATTAATGTTTCTTTGCTCGAACATTGATGCACCAATCAGTTTGTATGACAAACGACTCTCTACGTGAGAGTGGAATATCATAAAGAACGATAACCACGCAGGCTACATGAGGTAACTGGTGCTTCATGTCACAGCTTCAAGGATTCTTGTTAGCTGAAGAAATTCTTAAAGGATTCTTGTTAGCTGGGCAGGTTGGTTGGTATGTGGGGTTTAAGCGTCCCAAAACCACTATATGATTATGAGAGATGCTGTAGTGGAGGGCTCCGGAAATTTAGATCCACCTGGGGTTCTTTAACGTGCGCCCAAATCTGAGCACACGGGCCTACAACATTTGCGCCTCCATCGGAAATGCAGCCACCGTTAGCTGGGCAGAGCTTTGACAGTTTGCGCGGGGCAGAAAAAACTCCCGGCACATTGCAACGGCTCGCAATTAATCTTCTTCAAATTGTAGGATGTATGGTGGATATAGGGTAAAGCTTTGAGGTGGCACCAGGATTGCGACGCGGGTGGCTCACCGGAGTGGGGTGTTTTAGCCTCATGCCAGAGAACCTCAGCTAACAGAGCGATAAACTCCTGCGACCACTGTCGTTCTTTTATTCCTTCGTACGTATGTGCATCAGCTCCCTTTTCACCAAATGAAGACATGCCAGCCAGCTAAATTATTCCTTTTTTATGTTTTTTAATACTCAGCTCTCGGTGCTATCACCAGTGACCTTTTATGAAAAGCTAACAATATCGGCTCTCGAACGCCTCTAGACAAGCATGTCCTAAAACCAACGAATCAAGCGAAGCACAATGACGCGTCAGATATTTGAAGCTGAGTGAAAAAAGAAACGCAAGTAGGATTGAACTAACAACAGGCTATTTCAGTGAGCAAAGCTTGCAGTTCCCTTTTCGGAAACTCGGCAACAGACAGCAGCCTGCTACACGGATGCCTTGGTACATAGATTCCTATCTCATTCAGATGAAAACGCTGGTCGCAAGGCCAATAACTGGTATACCATCAATGTTGTCAACAATGCGATCCTCACTACAAAAGGCGCTGCTTTCAACTACTGTTAGCTTTAAAGTGACTTTGATGTGCTTTTGCATATTCATTAAGGTTCAATAATGAGGTGTTTTGTCGCTTGGTATGCTTGTTGATTGATATTTATAAAGGCAAGCCAGTACGTTTTGTGTGTTTACAGTTTGCAATCATACAAGTGATGTAAACCTGAATGTAAGCAAAACACGAAAAAGGAATAACTTATGAATGAGCCTATTTGAGCGTGTAGATGAAGGCACTAAATACATACCTATAATGTTGTGACGTCATAGAATCAGAGTCTCATAACTGTTGCTTGAATCCTTCTGCTAAATTGGTACCACAAGATGCGCCAGCGCGCCTTTACAATTTCGTGTTTACAGCTACAAGACGCACTTTTTGCCTTATCTTGACCTCTTAACAGAACAACGCGTTTCATTTGTCGAGACAATGTGATCTGCAGAGTAGTTGGAGCTATTTGACAAAAAAAAATACTGAAATACTCTACAAACACTTCTGATTTTCACAGTAGTTAGGGTTGTCGCAATCGTGAAAATTTTATTTGTACATACTGTCAATGAAAAACAAGCATGTAAGTAACTCAATGGTTTTTTTCTGTTTTTCATGCAGGATTTATAATTTGACGGACATTCTTCAAGAATGAGGCTTGAGTGCAACCTCCTCTGCCCTGTGTTTGCGTCTTCCACTGGCTGCGGTGAAACCCTGAACTAAAGGCACAAGGAGCACATTTTCATCTACTGAAGAAGGTTCAACTGAGCCAGGATGGCTTGGGAAGGTGTGGTTACACTTCGCAAGAAGAAGAAAGGCGACTAACCCCGACAACAAGGAGAGGCCAGTGTGGTGACGCTATGAAGCAGGAGTCCTGCGACGGCGATGTCCTGCTCAGGCCTAGATCGTGCTCGTCATCATCCACCCCAGAGAGCGACCTGTGTCGAGATGATACCGACGACAATGGCTACTATGACTTTCCCATGGACCTGCGGAAAAAGTCGCCTAAGAGCCCAAACTACCAATCAGGCGACGAGGAATGTGAAGAAGGAGAGACTATTACAGCAGTGCGCCGACGCCCCATTCACCCGGGGGCGCTCAATCATGCTTGGCAAAAGATACTTCTAAACGCTTTGCCGACACCTGCCGCTGCTTTTCAACATGGTGTCGGAAGGTATTACGGAACTCAGCGCACGCCTCATGGATGTCGGTGAACATCATTCAGCGACAAATAATATGACAAGAGTGAGTGATGACCCTGGCTCCGCCCACAAACGGTGTCAAGATAACAAAGAAAATCACTGCGCTTGCGTGTGCCGTGCACGAAACGATGGAGCCCCAGGGAATGATCTCTTAGACTTGAGAAAAGAAGATACCAGACCCGAGTCACAAACCCGTGCTCCTCTTATGAGTGGCCCGTACCGCACAGACAAGGACTCTAACCCTACACTCATCCGATTTCTCGAGTCACGCTGCGCTCTCAGCTCATCAGCATCGGCAGGAGAATGATGCACCGGAGGATTTATCATCAAACAAGTCGTTAATTCCTGAAACCGAGAGCAATAACTACAAAGACCAGGCGGTAAAGAGGGCAGTAAGCTGCTCAAAGCTCTTCGAGATCACCAGTGAGAGCCTTGTGGAGCGGCTGATGCGAGCACGCTGCAAGTCTGATAGCGAAATACAGAACCGCCTAAATAGTGACACTATGAAACCTTCCAGCAACGAGGAACTTTCGATCTCCTCTCCACCACCACGGGATCAGCGATCACCATCCCTGACGCTTAAAAGAAGGATACTAGGTGGAATAAAAACTCCGGAGCGAGGTTCCACAAAAGATGAAGACGAGGCTGACTGCAAGCAGGCACGGGTTCGCATCGAAACTATCTCAAAGCCGGACTCACGACCATGTTCCCCAATCTGCGACCCAAGGGCGCCACAAGAGACTCTCTTGCAACAGCTGCGGCATCTGGCTCCCGCTGCACTTCCGCTAAGCATATACGCTTACTACACCCAGATTATGCAACGGCTGCACGAGCACGAACTCCTGAAACGGCACCTGGAGGGCATAGCTGCGTCCGGTGTGATGCCGAATCCACTCCTCGCACAGGTGACTTTGGCCTCCCCCATGGCGCCTGGGCTGGAACCACTCGAGGAGCAGGATGAACTGGGACCAGCAGCTGGGAACCATCTGGAGTCCTACAACTGCGGGATGCGCAAGAGAGCCCCACGCGCGCTAACGGGCAAGCACGTCAAGCACGGTACCGGGGCCAGTCCATCGACACTACTGACGTTAAGGCAGAAGATTCAAGAACGCCAACGAGCGCGTCAGTTAGGCCTCCTCGAACCCACGGTACGCAGTCTCAAGGGGACGAGGAAGAACTTCAGCAAAGGGTCCTCCAATGGCAAAAAGCAAGCCGTGAAAAAGTGAATACCACATAGCATGCGTTTACCATAACACGAACATTGCAGCTGGCAAAGCGAACTACGCATGTAGGCAAAAAAAAAAAAGAAAAGCATCCTTAGATGAACGCCAGGCGCAAACGCTGTGGAGGTCTTCGGACGCTCAAATGGTTGAGGAAGGTGAACAAGGAAGCATTTCATCATCTGTAATGAAAATCTCAGCTGTTTCTTTCACCCATGTGGTCCCGCAGAGCGCAGTTACAGAAAAATAGTCTTTTATTGATTATCTGAGCATGGCATTCGAAAGTTTAGTTTTTGCCGGCACATTACTCAAGCCCGGCAATGTCTTAGCTGGCAATCTGGGAAAATATCCTGTTGCCTTACTGCCACTTAATTTCATATGACGCTGTACGTTCTGCACATGGTGGTACAATTACTGTCTCCTACAGCCAAAGATACGTGTTGACTCGTTATGCTCGCACAGAAAATAACAATGCATACAGCATAACTATGGACTATGTCAAACGTTAGTATGATTATGAGACATGTCAACAAGTCACTATTCATGAACCTGACGAATGCACTAAAAGGCATCGTGCTCAAGTAAACTGAATTTGTGTAAAGTTCAGGTCATTGATGTCAGCCAGCTATATTAGTAGCATTTGTTTACTGGATTGCCGAATGAATATTTTAACTGTGCGTTGGCACAGCAATATAATCAAGCAGTGTAAATGTTTGTACGCTATAGAATTTAGAAGGGCTTCAATATTATATTTTGATCCTGCTTCATGAAACTTCATCAACAGCTCAATACAGGGTGATTTTTTGGATGATTTTTCGGCAGAGACACGTGGTCCTTGACAGAAAATGTATTTACTGTGCCGTTTATTTCAGAGCGGCAATTACTTCAAGTTGCGTTTTCCACAAAGTGTATTTTAAACCAATGCACGAATTTACTCAAGCAATTCATCTCCGAAAGCGAAGTCTTTCCTTTAATTGCAACAGTCTCGTGAAACACATGCAAGAAGAAAAAAAAACACTCTGCGAAGACTACATTTTCAAAGAATTAAATTACTGGTAAAAGCACACAGGATTGTGCGCTCCAATCAGTAAGTTCATCAAAGCCCTTGTGGATTTTGAATGAACTTACCGAAATCTGTCAGCTTCTACTAAAATCTCGAACTTTCACCATTCCTTCAATGCAGTGCTTTCTTTGCCACCTGAGCGAGCTACAACAATATTGATACATCTAGTGCTGTTTAAAATGGCGTAAAATGACGACCATATATTGGCCCACATGCCTGCGTACACATAACATATGTCGTCGTCCACCACGCATCTGGTATGTCCATGTCCTTTCAAACAAGTAACTTTTACATTCCATGAAGGAGCTGAGAAATGCACACGTTGTAGCGAGGGCTTCGTGTATAAGAAAGTGTATACTTCAAGCTGAATTTTTAAAACAAGACCTACATGCATCTCTATCAGTTTGACACAAGCTTTCTTCTATGATTCTTGTTTGGGAAGACCTATACATGTAGACTGCACTTTGCATTTTACGTTCTATGTTATCTTATCACAACATTTCATTTGAGTGTCCGTCCGTGTATATTCTTCTGTATCATTACTCATACACAACTTTACGTGTTTTCTCTGTGCTATTATCATTGATTGCTGATTGCTTGGCATCAAACTTTTATGCGATAAAGAAGCGTCTATCAAACAATAAGTAGTACGCAAAGAAAAACACTGCTCTCTATTTTTCGGCGACAAAGCGGTTAAGCACAAAATTAAGAAGACGTTTGAACGCTCGTATTAGCCTTGCTTAAGGAGTAAAAAGGCGCCAGATCTTATTTTTTCATGAAGATTTCGTGTCATGTTTATTCTCGGTAGCGCACACAGTGATTTCTTTACCACTGCTCTTCCGGTGACAAGTGGCGCAATTCTGGACATGTTGTCATTCTTGTTAGCAAGAAACTACGCAATCGCATACAACACAAATTTCCGAAAGTAATCTTCAACAGCTAATAACTATATTCAACAATATATATTCGGCTAGATTTCTTGGAAGTTAAAGTTGTCGGCTATGTATGAAACATAGGATCGTTTCCGGGCTCTTTTACGTAAATTTAGATAGTGAACGCGCACCTCCTCGGTCTCTTTGCCTTAAGGCAAGTATTAGCCTGTGTAAAGCATTGGCTCTGGTATTTAATGTGAGGTAAGTGTTGTGACTGTACTACTTGACATTCCTTTTTAGTTGAAAGAGGGGTTTACATCGAAGAAGGGTGACACAGCATATACGAGAATGAACAGGTCTTATCAACACCACCGCGACAATTAGTATGCCGCTATTGTGCAACGCACACTTGAGGTCAGCATGCTAGGAAACAAATTCCGGATTCTTTAACATTGTTGCATAGTTCGCATAAAGATTGCTTTCGAAGTATCACATGGCGTGACGGCTACGAATGCAAACACAGATGAACCTATGCAGCAACTGCCATAAGCGTCCTAAAAGCACTGTAATTTCAAGTAACGTTGATTGTAAGTTGGCCTGGTTATGATAAGAAACATATTTTTAGATTAAAGTCGCAAAAGCACCGAGGACGCACTACTCTACTGCTGATTCGCTGTGGTAAGTGTACAAATAAAATGGAAGATGAAATTGTGCGAAACCCACTCTTGCTCATTAGCCTGACAAAGTAATAACATAATCCACATTGTTTTTGGTTCATTGGTGCAGGGCATCAGCACCACCACAAGTGAGGCTCTCCTTGCACTTGTGTTCTCTTCGAGGTTATGCTATAAACTATTCCAAGCGATAAACAGAATACCATAGCATAAGATGACCACCGCAGAACTATAGGTCCAAAAAATATTGAAGCCCACCTGATACCGCTGTATAATCTGAACATATTTTGCGGGAATAGGAATGAGCAGTCCTCACCTTTGCAACAACAGGACATTGGTCAATTATGAAAGTGACACTGTTTCTGCAACACTTTCTTTACAACCAACTTTAAAGGTTGTTGTTACACTGCTCACAGTAGTAATATTCCTTGAAAATGTACGCCTACTTGCTATTTCTGCTATATGATGGGAGTGGGAGCCAATATGCTAATTGTGTTTTGTCTACAGCTGCCGGCAGTGGAACATCGCTTATCGAGTAAAAAATTCTACAAGTGTTTCTGTATATCCTCATGTGTGTCCAAAAGCGTTGATATTTATATTGTACCTTCTGTAATAAAATGATCATTTTATCAACTCCAAGACGTAGTTTGATAAGTACCCTCAAGCCTACAGAAGAGACCACTGATTTACGGTGAGTTTGCTGCAGGCCGCAATAAAAAAAACTCTTTCGTACGTTTATACTTTTCGATATACCCGAGAAAACACTTATTGTTGTGATAGAACCACATTTGCAGGCTCCAAATGCTCAGGCTGATATAAAAAAGACGTTCAGAAACGGTGGTGAGCAAGTTATGCTATTTAGTTTGTAAAGGACATACCCAGAACCAAGATGCAAAAATTAAAGGGGTGGATTAGTACAGCAGCCTCCCCGTATCATGTCTTTTCACGGCAGCACTTGAAGCCGTTTGAGCTGACCAGGTGTCTGCGCATGTCTAGAGATGCCACCCTGTTTATTCGGACTGCAGCCGACGCGACTATAAGTTGTGATTAGTTGTTTGATTCATACTTGGGGTTTAGCGTCTCAAAACCGCCATTTGATTATGAGAGACGCCGTAGTGGAGAGCTCCGGAATTTGGGACCACCCGGGGGTTCATTAACGTGTACTTAAATCTAAGCACAGGGGCCTACAGCATTTTTGCCTCCTTTGAAAATGCAGCAGCCGCAGCCGCGATTCGATCTAGCGACCTGCGGGTCCGCAACTGAGTATACCTTAACCACTACGCCGTGCACTGCTGTGGGGCGAATATACATTCAGATACACTTAGCAAAAGAAGAGCGGCCCTGTATTTCCGGTGTGTCGCGCTTTTTTTTCCTTTTCTCTACAAAAGCTTATTGAATAAACCGAAACAAGATTAACTTTCACGGGAGCGCAAAGCGGGTCTAACTTGCGGGTCGGCAGCCGAGTGCCTTAGTCACTAGATCACCGTGGCGGGTTGATGCAAATAAACTGCAGGATGAACAGCATTGCACTTTATTTGCGTCAACCCGAACGAAAGCATAAACAGAAAAGCAAAATAAGGCATGATGCAGGATGGCCTCACACGTGCCCTTCACGCAGAAAAAGATTAATATTTCAAGATATCGCTTCGTAACTTCCTAAAAATTATTTTGACAACCAGTGCGAAGCCACATGAGGTGCAAAAAACTTTTGAAGGAAGAGGGGGGACATTTAGTTGACTGAACAAAAAAAAAAGCCAATCGTCTGTCTGTCGCCTTCATATCACCTTGGGTGAATTTGAGCTTTTTTATTACATATTGCTACGCTGGATTTATTTTTAGGTTTACTACATGCTTACGTTGAATCGAATCTGCTTGTTATTGACCATACACCTACAGACCTCGACTATTTTGGCTTTGCGCATGCAATTTTTTTCTCTGTGTGAAAACAAATAGGGCTACCTGTAGTTTCATTATTATCGATAAAAGCTACACTCGCCGTCAGTTTCTTTCACATTTCCAGCTGATGTGAATGCTGTGGCCTTATATACGTTTCCCACACTGAAAGAGGCTTTCGTTATTGATTTTAAACTCAGCCTTACCGTTAACAGCCTTCCACAGCTATACGTATAAACGTTTTTTGGCTTAAAAACACTGTGTCCAGATGCTGAGTGCTTATTAGCACAATAAGAATGCAGACGCTGCGGTAGATTTTCCTTCTGAATACGCCTGTGACAAGTCCTTCAGATGTTTTGTCCAATGCCTTTTTGGCAAAAGGGACAGAAAAGCTTGTATATTTTAGGTAGCTTGGAGAGGCACCTATTCAAGCGAAAAATTACTAAATTAGCATACTCATGAACTGGAACGAAACAAGAGATCACGGGAGCTCAAACAGTTTAGTATAATTTTCTGTAAATCATGCACACTGACATTCATTCCGTTATAAATTTCTTTCACTCGTTAACTTCCTATGACCATCGCGCAGTCAGTTCAAAACTGCTTCAGTTAAGTTCCAACTCACAGTCGTGAAAACAGGAACTACGCAGAGACAGCATATTTTATGCTGTTTAAAAACAAATACTGCATGCGAAGTATCCGCTCTATGGACGTCCTGGTACCTGGTTTTTACTACTCTCAGCATCAAAGGCCAACGTTTCTGACACGCAGCACTTGAAACGGCGAATTATTGTTGAAATCTACGGAGCATATTGGGGCTCGAACCCATCTATAACTTAGAAGTGTGGCAGCTTGGGCTAGTCTTTCGTGTCCTTCTTGTCTCTGTGTCGTCGTTTTGTTCTCGCGCTATAACTATCGTCTGGCCATACCAACTAGTAGCGCTCGTGTCTTTCGTGTCCTTCTTGTCTCTGTGTCGTCGTTTTGTTCTCGCGCTATAAATATCGCCATCTATAACGGTGGGATTTCGACATTCAATATCATTCGCGATGTGCACGGTATTGCACTGTGTATCGCGAGAAAGTATTTGACGAGTGATATTGTCCGACATAAAATACAAATAATGAAGTAGTATGGTCATGCGACAATAAAACAAACAAAGAAAGTTTTTGCTACGCGGAAATACGATCAACAAAGCACACGGGATTTGCCACGAAAGCCGAAAAAACTTTGCAAATAAATGAACCTTTTCGTGGGTAAGTGGGCGTTTTCCCGGGTCATTCATAATCAAAGATACTAGCGTTTGCTTGCTCCACGTTGCTCTGCATTGTGCCTCTTCTGTGAGTGAAGATTAGAGCAGGGTTATTACGCGTGATATTCCCGCAACAATGCGTTTGTATGCCCGCGCGCTGCTGAAAACGGGGTGAACCAACGCTTCCGTGAGCAGACGACACTCCTACAACGCTATAGTTTGCAATAATGCTTTGCAGCAGCCGTAGTAGGCACGCACAAATTTTTGGAGAGGTCCATTAAAGTGCGATGAGCGCACGCGAAGGAGAGACCACGCTCCATAGAGGCAACGTTCCGTGGAGGCTACGATCTTGAGGGCACGCTGAACACGAGCCTGCAGCGCCATCTCACCACTGATGAAGAAAACGCGCTGAAGTTTCAAAGCTCTGAAGGCTGCCAAACGGCGCATGGCGTATACAAATGGCTTGCCATTAGAACTGCTGACAACGTATGATCCATGGTGGAGTATTTAGCGCCGTGCGCTAAGAAACAAGATTGCTGGTTCGATTCAGTGCAATATTTGCTTGCGTTCTACTTTAGGGACGATAGTTTTTCTTGGGGACCTTTGACGCAAAAATTTTGGTCTGTCTGTCTGTCTGTCTGTCTGTCTGTCTGTCTGTCTGTCTGTCTGTCTGTCTGTCTGTTTGAGCACCCTTAACGGTACAGGGCACTTTAAACGGAGGCAGTAAATATCCAAACGGCCGGCCGCATCCGCAGCGCCCAACAATATTGCTCAAGCTTGAGCGTTCATACTTCTGCGATTGTCAATTAAAAAGCAATTATCGCGTATATCTGAGGCACCATAACAACACGTATATATCAGTATGTGCGTGTATTACTAGAAAAGACATACATAAGTTATTCTAGGACCGAAGCGTTTATCATGCGGCGCTTTACATGTAACGCTTGCACGAAAAGGGAAGCATTTCCAACGTTTTGCTAAAACGACACGATAGTGGCACCTACCCCTCGCCTTGCGTTCTACACCTTATCACCTCTGAGACGGGCGCGCATGCCCGTCTCAGAGCCACGCACTTTGTTTTCCAAGAAAACTGCCAGATAGCGCTCATTTCTCACGTGTGACATGACTTGATGTGCTCGTTCCCCTCCACCGCACGCTCGAGGCACTCTAACGCAGCGCCTCCAGAATACCATTCTCTGATTTTCTTGCGCAGAACATCAAATAAACTTTTTGTTTATTCTCTCCAGACGCAAGACTATTGTCTTTCGACGACATTTGCAGAATAACATGCAGATACAGGGCCAATTTTTTTAAAGACGATAGTCTTTCTAGGCGACCTTGAATGGAATGAAAAAACTTTATTTCGGTCCTGCAGGACGCGCTTAGCGCGTAGCGGGCGTCTCCCACGTAGGGACCGACAGTGAGTACCTGGCGGCCGCTTCGTGGACGACCTTCGACGCAAAAATTTTGGTCTGTCTGTCTGTCTGTCTGTCTGTCTGTCTGTCTGTCGGTACATCCTTAACGGTACCGGGTATTCTGAATGGCATCAGTCAATACGCCAAACGGCCAACTCCATCCACAGCACCCACCAATGTTGCTCAAAATTCAGCGTTCATAATTGTGTGATTGTCAATTAAAACGGAATAGTTGTGCATATGTGAGGCACCATAACAACACGAATATATTCTGCATGTGCTTCTTTTACTAGAAAAGGCATACATAAGTAATTCTAACTACCGTAGCTTTTATCACGCGGCACTGACCATGCAACGCTTTCACGAAAATACGAGTGTTAGCAACGCTTTGCTAAGACGACACGGTGGTGGCACCTACCCACCGCCTTGCGTTCTCCACTTTATCACCTATAAAACCGGCGCGCACGCCCGTCTCAGAGCCGCGCGTCTCGTTTTCCAAGAAAACTGCCAGATAGCGCACATTTCTCAAGTGTGACATGAATTGATGCGCTCATTCACCTCCGCTGCACGCTTGAGGCACTCTGCAACACCTTCAGAATACCATACACCGATTTTCTTGCCCAGAACATCAATAAAGGTTTTGCTCACTCTCTTCACACGCAAGACTATCGTTTTTTGATGATATTTGCAGATTAACATGCAGATACGGGGCCAATTTTCAAATGCGAAGCATTTCTTAGCGAGCTTCGGCGACATTGAGCGTATCTATCTATCTATCTATCTATCTATCTATCTATCTATCTATCTATCTATCTATCTATCTATCTATCTATCTATCTATCTATCTATCTATCTATCTATCTATCTATCTATCTATCTATCTATCTATCTATCTATCTATCTAGCCGCCTACGACTTTTAGCTCTCCTGGCCGTTTTGATAATGGTATCGATACCAAACCAAACCTGGTATCGCATAACATGACTGTATGAGGAACATATTTCACTATTCATTACATAAAAATCATGACATGCAAGTCATAAATGTCATAATTTACACTACATGGTCCTGCAGCTCTTGCG